GGGAAGGAAAGGGAAAGATTGTATTATTTTGTATTTGGATAATTAATGTAAAAGGAAGGGAAGGATTTAAATAATTTTAAATTTACAAATTTACCCTTTAGACTTATAATATGATTGCCTATTCTTTTTTTGGAAATAATTTATCAAAGCCCAAGGACAATAAGATGAGAAGGATTATTGACAACTAATTGTTTGTTTTTAAGAAGAATTAGTGATAGATTGACTTATAGAGTTGCTTGTATCCAATAAGTTTCTTTAGCATTCAACAATGTCACTCAAAAGAAAATTTCACTCTACAGAACTCATTGAAGAAGATTGTATTGTTGTAGATTTTTATAAAAAGGAACATGAATTCATGGTTTAAAAATCGTTGGCATAAAAAAAAAAAAGAATTTTAAAAAGAAATAGTTAATGAAACAATCAACAAATAATGAATTTGAAAATGAAATGCAAATGATTTTATTACAATATAATTTCAATGATCCCAATAAACACTAAAATAAAATAACTAATAAAAACCAAACCACCAAAAATTGTTCAAACATAAATTCCAATGAATGCAACCTAAATTAGTCAAATTTAAAAAATAAAGATAATGATTGTCCCCAAAGCTTGATGATTAAGAAGCATCGAAAACAACCCTCATAACAATATCCAAGCGTCTCCTAGGTGGACATCCTAGTACTGCTCTTAATTTATCTGGATGCTCAAGCAGATATAAATAAGCAGAAGTAATTTGATCTGAGTTAAGTCCCAAATCCTCCAACATATTCCAAACTTTAGTCTTTGAAAGTGGAGGACGTGAATTCCCTTCAAATAAAGCTCGAGCTACATTGTTGATAGCTTCTTGAATGCCCATAGCTTCATTTTCAATTTCTTGTGATTTCTCTATTGTTTTGAATTTTGAGCTACTTGGCACATTTGAAGGACCTCCAACACATGTCAAAGGATCAAAATTAACATCATTAGTTCCAAAACCATCCAAAGATATCTGATTCTGTGACACCATATAATCAATTTCCTCAATGGTATTATGAGACTCATTATCATGTTTGGATGATTGCTTTTTCTTTAATTCTTTTGCAATCTCTGACTTTTCACCTATAGTTCAATCATTTCCAAATAGTATCACAAATGTGTCATAGTGCAACACTGGTTTTGTCATCCACTCTTTAGCATCCTTATTAATCTACAAAACATCAACATTTTAAAATAAAAATAATTAATTTATGTCAAGAAAAATCTTAGTAAAGAAATTTAAATTAAAATTGTACCTTTATTAACGCATCTCAAACTTCAGGCTCAGCACTCCATAGCTTGGTAACAAGGCTCCATGAAAAACCACTAAGGTTTTTGAATAAATCACGAGATTTTGAAAGGTTTGCCTTAAATGTTTTGATGCGATTTTTAATCTTATCTTTGTCCACATCCTTCCTAAGTTTTTCTTTCAATTCTTTACAATATTTTCATATACTTTGGTGGTGAAGGAACCATTTACCCTATTGCCGAAATTATGTTGACGTAGGAAAGCATCCATAAGAGCCTCATCCATTGTAGGTGTCCATACTAATTTGCCTTCTTCACTTACATTTTCAATATTACTATTTTTCTTCTTCCCACCCATAACTAAATAAAATAAGTTATTAGATAACTTTATTAAGTAAAAATTTATTACAAAGAAAATTTATTAATTATAATATTAAAAAAATGTAAACAATTCAAGAACAAAAAAAATGTTAGTGCTGTCTATGAAAGTGCTCTTAGCAGATAAATGGAGAAGACGTCCACTGCTTTTGCTAGTTGTCTACAAAATTAATGGTCTGTGATGATATTTATTTATGAGATACCAATCAATATTCAAACAGAAAATCAAGTTAAAAGAATGGAACAAGTGGAGGAAACTAAAAAATGTTGCAAGAAATTTCAGGAGCATGAAACATAACAGCAGGATTTGTAATAATAAGAATCATGGCACCTGGATTATACAACTATTTTGAGAGAAAAATAAAATTCAAGTTTGTGGTTCCAATTATTTAAAGGGAAAGTGGAAGGGCTTCTAGAGGTCTTATGTGCTATTCATTCAGTGGTATTCCAAGGAAAAATGAAGCAACAAAATAAAATAACAATATAGTCATGTAACCCGTTCCTATCATGCTGGAGAGAAGAAATAATGCAAGATTGTGATTTATCCAAATTGGGAGTTTAGAATAATTATGAACAAGTTGAGACAGCTCACCTTCTGTCAACAATGACCATGGAACAAAGCTCACAATTTGCAAAGCTATGAATTGAAATTAAACAATTATTTCGTTAGACGGAGCTAACATCTATATAATTCAATCTCTAACTTCCAAGTAGATTCCAGAGCAGCTGTAAATTTTATTTTTTCCAAAGGCCCCCAATTTTCTGCAACTACCAACTAGTAATTCTAACTTGAACAAAAACTTGATATGCAGTGGCAAATATGCAAATGTCCAATAAGCATTCATCATTTGCAAACTATCATATAGAGCAATGCATGCACAGAAAAGATAGTATCATTCTGAAATAACCAAGCCTGGACAGAGCTTAAATGACATATTGAAAAGATTGGAGAAAGAATATAGAGAATTGATTGTATCAGATAAACACATTGAACAAGGGCCAAATACCAGAATAAAGAAATGGAACACTTCATGTTAAGTTTGTCTAGAGAAAAGAGTCACAACATCTTATAAATAAAGCAAGAGGGATCCATGAATGCTTATTGTTTGCATATTTCCTTTTTCACCAATGGATGGCAATCATTTCCAAATGCACTTAATGTATGGAACAAGAACCCACTGTGGGTAACAATTGCTATCTCCTTCTCTTTCCTAGTCCACAACCTGCAAAATGAATTGAAAAGAGGGGACCTAAGATAATTCCTTGTACATTTAAATCAAATTAAACATCTCCGTGTCTATAGCAGTTTTCTAGAACTAGTTAATGAAATTAAAATCAAGCAAGGATGTTCATACCAGATAATTAAAATGAATAATATTTACTAAAATCAAGCAAGGATGTTCATATTAGATAATTGCAGCACAACAATGCAGAGGTTAACTTTCAGATCTATCAAGTAGACAACCAAGCTTTTTACTTCCTTCTCAACACCAAATTGTACAATAATAAAACTTTTTTTTTTTTTCAGAAACATTAAGAATGGTAAAAAAAAAAAAAAAAACAACTTTATTTCCAAATAAATCAAGCAAAAAATAGTCCTCCACCCTGTGGCCTAGAAGGAGCCACGTTATGGATATAAATGTAGGCTCGTTGGAGTGCAATTTCGAAAGCTGCTAAATTGCTGACATAAGGACAAAATGGCAATTTCATCATTTTCATTTCTCTCCCTAAGCACCTAGTTCACTCATGCATTTCATCAAACAATAGGTGTGCATTGGAAAGCTTTAGGTGTATAGAATACTGTGAAGCCAAAACACAATCCAATCACATAGAAAACAATACAAACCTCTAATGGAAGGATCACAAAGTTAAACAGTGAATATGAAACAAAATAGCATTTTCTAATCAACTGTCATAAAGGAAGTTAAAGGGAAACATAATTGAAAACAAGAAACAAAAATGAGATAAATACCTGTGAATCAAAACAGTTAATTCCTTGTTTTTGTTTTCAAAAGAGAGAATGACAGCAAGAGTGAGCTAGAATGCTAGCAATTCCATTTTTTAATTCAACTTCATTTTCAATTTCGAATGCTATACTGTAAATTAAAAATGGCCGAAGCCAATGAGAGAATGGTGAAAGATCAAAAATAATCAAATTGAAGTTGAGTTGGTGGTATACTTACCTTGAATTTAGTTGCTGCTGATGTTGATAACCAGGTAGAAGAAGAACTAGAGGATGTTAAATAATAAGAGTAAAAAGGATATTACGGTAATTTTTTTGGAAAAATTTGAGCCTTTGCCAAATCCATCCCAAACCCCCCAAATTGGGGGGATTGGAAATCTGCAGTTGTGAGGGGTTGTTGAGGGGATCCAAACCTCCTCCATCTCCTTCCCCTTTCTGCTCTTTACTTATCCAAACATAAAGGAGGAGACAGCCTCCCCTCCTTTTCCCTCAATTACCATCCGTCCCCTTCACTCCCCATCCCTCTCCATTGGTCTCCCTTAATCCAAACAGTACGTAAATGTTACCTCTGTCAATTAAGGAATGCCATGAGAACGTTCATATAAGAAGTGCATGGAGTTTGAATTTTAAGACTAATAAGAAGGGGATTTTGGAAGAGGACAAGTGTTTTTGTTGTAAAATTAATTATTAGATGCATAAAAAACAAAAAAGGAAATAGTCACTATCATTAACCACATGCACTAAGAACGAATGTAACAATACTTCTTTGGTAATTTTACTTGAGTATGAGGTTTAGGTCCTTGATGCAAAATCTCTAAATAACTTTTCAAAATTAGAAGCAAAATTTTCTAATTGAGCTATAACGGTCATAAGCTAATTACTTAGCAAGTTTGAGGCATAAAAGAGATTTGGCGCCATGCCAATAATAGACCATAGAGAACTCCAACGCAAAAACAAGAAGAGATCAAAAGCTTTCATATTTTTCCTTTGTAAAGCCAACTAAATCCTTAATCTAAAAATTCTCTTTCATGTAACAAGTGAAAGAGAGATTAGGGAAATTATATTGATCTAAAAATTCATCCTTGAGATATAAGAAGGGTTGAGAGATTTGTAACAAGAGGGTTGAATAGTTCAATAACACCTATAAGTTATTGTGAGTGATTGAGTAACCTTATTAGATATTTTTTTTGAACAAATTACAATCAAATCTACCAAACTAATGGGGAATGGGGAAGGGGATCACCAGGACTTAAACTTTCAACCTAGGAGATTTTCCCGCAAACAACCAAGTGGTAAACTACTTGGCGCATGAGGAACGAGTAACCTTATTAGATATTGAAAAACCATTCTTGTAATATAAGCTTGGATCTGTCAAAAATTATAACAAGAAGTTAAACTATTAAAAGTAAATAGCATTGAAAAATCTATTGCAAATGGTTGCTTTTACACCTACAAGTTGAAGGAAAGCTTTTGAGCCCAAAACAAACTCTTAAACAAGTGGTTTAAGCATTTAAGTAGACACAAATTGTGCGAAATCACTATAAATCTTAATTTTTAAGCCTTTTCTTTCTTTAACTTTTAATTTCTATATTTTAATTAATTTATTTGTAATTTACTTGTAAGTGTTCATCATTTTACTTTTAAAAATTACATAAGATTTTGAAAACCAATTTAATCTCCTTCAAGTTGTCATCATTTGGGCCAACAGAAACGACTCTAGCTCCCACCCCTGAGACTTGAGAGGGAACCTGTTAACATTCTTTTTGGATAGAAAAGTTTGTGAAGGAAAAGGAGAGGGAGTGTAATGGAATTGATGAGGAGAGTTTTTAAAAGAAAATGAAAAGAGATTGGTGTTAAATTGTTAGGATAGATAAAAGTAAGGGAAGGATAAAGACGAAGAGGATTATATAATTAAATAATTTTAAAAATT